TTGGCTGCATCTTGTACATTTTCCTTGGAAAAACTAGTGACCTGCCTAGAGTGAATCTGCTTGGTGTACATGACTCTGATACCATCGCCCACGTGGTCAACCACAGTTGCCAGGGGAGCTGGCACAGTGTCCCAGAGGACAGATTTATCTTCCTCCTCCCAGCTCGAAAAAACAAAGCCTAAAAATCTTTGGAATTCTTTCCAGAAGGAAGTAACAATGCAATAATTCATTTGTGGCCTATGTTGACAGCCATGGATCTGGGGTCCCTCATTTCTTTGACTCAGGTCAGAGGACAGTCCCTTTGGAAGGCAGGGAGCCTTTTCCTGAGAGATGGATAAAGGAAAGAGAAATGAAGTGGAGAGGTGATGTGGTGACCAGAAGGCTTGGTGGCCGGAGATGACGGTATATCAGGAATGGCAGGGTTGAGACATGAGGAAAGATGAGAAAATGGAGACAGTATGGGACATAAAAGGGTGCAGGTATGGCGGGCCTCCAAAAGAGGCTGGAGAACAAACCCAAACAGATATTTTGCACTTTCATCTTATCCATGCCTCCACAAAAGTCTCCTGTTATGTTATCAATATTTGAGAAGAGTGTGACTTCCTGTCAACGTGGGGAAATCTGAGCTTTAGAAAGTCACTTTTTGGGAATTCCCTGGTGGTCCAATGGTTAGAACACTGCACTTTCGCTGCCGAGGGCATGGGTTCAATCCCTGGTCTGGGAACTAAGATCCCACAGGCCGCATGGTGAGGCCAAAAAAAAGTCACTTTTCTTCCCCAAACTGAAAGTCCTCAAAGATGCAACCAGGAGGGAAGGACTCAGTCTTCTGTGTCGGAAATGATTCTTCCAAAGCAGACTCCATGAAGTTACCTCTAAAATGAGAACTCCTAATATCACAGCCACCATGGTGCACAACTCCAGGGGATGCCATTCACACTAAAGACTATTTGAACTTACATAGTATTGTGTGCCGTGTGTGTGGATGTACGCAACAGCTCTGCATAATCACGTTAGCTCTTAAAAAAGTCACTAGATAACACAAAGTCCATATTCCAGTCAATTTCCAGTAAATTTTATGGACAAGAAGCTCTGAATGTGTACTACCATTAAAACACTCTTCAAGTTGGTTGTTCTAAAGTGTTCTTGTTTTTCTTTCTCTGCTACTTAATCGTTTTTGTAGGGGTTAAGAATCTAGGCTTATTTTATGATTACTTTTGTTGTAAGTCAATGGTTCTGAATTGGAGGGGTCAGGCATAACAAAATTACTTGGGAAATATTTTCAAAATATACTTGCCCAATATATCAACAGAAGAACGGATAAGCAAATTGTGACGTGGACACACATATACATACACACACATTATATAATTCTATTTATATGAAGTTTGAGAACCAGCAAAACTATGCTATGTTAGTAGAAGTTAGCCTAGAGAGGTGTTACTGACTGAACAGTCACATAAGGGACATTTTTGTGGTGATGGAGGTTTTCTTTTTTAAAATTAATTAATTATTTGGCTGTGTTGGGTCTTAGTTGCAGCACGCAGGATCTTTGTTGCGGCATTCAGGATCCCTTGTTGCGGCAAACAGGCTTCTCTCCAGCCATGGCACGCGGGCTCCAGAGTGCGGGCTCAGCAGTTGTGGTGCGCAGGCTCTCTAGCTGTGGTGCGTAGGTTCTAGAGCACGTGGGCTCGGTAGTTGTGGCCCACGGGCCCAGCTGTCCCGTGGCATGCGGGATCATAGTTCCCTGACCAGGGATCCAACCCTCGTCCCCCGCATTGGAAGGCGGATTCTCAACCACTGGACCACCAAGGAAGTCCTGGTGATGGACATTTTCTATATCCTGATTTGGGTGGTGGTCACATGGATGTATCCATATGAAAAAGTAAAGTTGTAGGTACATTTTTATTGAGCGTGAATTATATCTCAATAAAATACTGCCTAAAAATATTATATATAGAAACATATATATACCAACTGAAGTCTCTTACCCTAGAACAAGGGGATAAGATAAATAAGACATGGGGAGCAGGGGTTACAGAGAGGATGCGTATTTTGAAAAAGCTTCCAATTTCTCTTTTCTTCCATTACTGTACACTGCCAAATACCCTCTTAGGAACTGAAATCACACTTAGGATAAAAACAAACAATCTCAGACTTCCCCAGTGGTCCAGTGGTTAAGACTCCACGCTCCCAATGCAGGGTGCACGGGTTGGATCCCTGGTTGAGATCCCGCATGCCACACGGCGAGACCAGAAAACAAACAATCTCTCTCTCTCTCTCTACTTATATATGTCTTTACATTTTGTAGAAGGCCCCTAGAGATTGTCAGAGTTTTCATAAGAGAGCCTGCTGACTTTCCAGTTTTCTTTGATTGGGGAACTTATTTTGTTTTGCTTTTCAATGGTTTTGAAGGTATAAAATTAATAAATTAATGTGAGGAACACATTGGAGGTGGGAGGAATCATGGCAGCCCATGAGATTTGGCCTATATTTGTAGTTTAAATTGGGCTTAGAAACAGTTGAAAGATTTGGGGGGATATTTAATACTGACAAGTTCCTAAAATTACAGAGCTTTAAATAAATGTGTAGTGATGTGTTTAGGGCCTATCGCATCAATCAATCTCCTGTTTACTCTGATGCATATTGAGAAGACTCAAGTGTAATGCAGACAGGAAATGGGTTGCTTTTTTCTTTTATGAAAGAAGCTCGTGACTAGCTTTTATATATTTATCTAGAGAATGAAAGGCTTTTAAAATTTGAAGTGGGACTTCATATTTTAAAAAGTATTACTTGTATTGCCTTTCTGTGATCTATTCCAAAGAAAGAGAAATGTGGCTGGTCAGATGCACTTTATGGGCTTTTAAATTAATAATGGGTTAATTTATTTTTAGAAGTAAAATTATTTAAAATAAAAATGAATCCACAGGAGTAGTACTTAATCTTATCTGATGGTTTTCTATTTTTTTGTTTTTTATTGCCATTGAACACTCAGCAACATTCTCAACATTCATTTTGATTCTGAAGGCAGTGTGAAGGCAGTCCTTTCCCCAAGACATCCTGGCTTTATCACTTAGCTTCTTCCATTGGTATGCCATCTGCCTGGAGGAGTATACATTCATCCCAGTTCAGACTGGGAAAGACCTCAGAGATGAACTCGTTCAACCAGGCTCTGACCTCCATGTCACACTCCACTTAAATATTAAACTCAGGCCTAGAGGTGAAGTGTCTTGCTCAGGGTCACACGGCTAGTCAGAGGCAGAACCAAAACTGCGTCTGCAGACAAGTTCTTTTTCATCTACACCACGACTGTCTCAGCTTGCTGTGCTCAAGAGTTTGGTGTCACAGTGACTTTAAAGCAAAAATATACAAATGCCACTTCCTTTCCTGGAAGACCTCAAGAGGCCTCTCATCTCTCCTACCTTGAGAGCCTGTAGGTCTTTCCTTATCTTTAATCTTAACCCTATTTTGGTTAAATTTTGAAAGGTTTATAAGTTTGCATTTTGGAGCCAGACAGACTAGGGTCCATTATCATAGTTTACTTGCTCTGTGACCCTTGGTGAGACAGGTAATTTCTTTACACTTCACTTTCCTCATCTCGGAAATGGGGATAATATACTAGAGCACATAAAGTGCTTTCCACGCTTCCTGGTGAACAGTAAGGCACTCCTTAATTTTCTTTGGAAATCCAGCAAGCCCATATTGAAGCTATCCAGCTATTTCTTGAAAGTTGGAGAAACCGATCTTAATTCCCTTCAGCCTTTTCCTTCCATCCCTTTAAGTTCTCCGCTTCTTTATAATTTTGAAGATTAGCAAATGCTCAGAGAAGTCAGAGTTTTGTGACCACAAATTTGTACATGATGGCTGCCAGAGGCTCTTCCCCAAGAGTCCAGGAATCTTTCTGAGTTGTGGGACACTGAAGGAATTTGAGACAACATCCTCAGTGGCAATGACTTCAAGGACCCTATTCAACCTAAGAAAGGTTGAAAGGACTGGGCTTGAGTAAGACAACAGACCCCTAAGACATCATTTTGGCAATGCAAAGGACCACAGAAAAATAGGCAAATCCTTTAATCTTACAGCTACAGAGGTCAAGGCTTTCAGGAACTGGGACACTCACCACAGGGCAGGTCCGAAAACCCGGGTTCCCCGGCCTGGCTCGGTGCCTGTTCCATCTTACCAGCTGCGTCTCTTTAACTCCACCTCCGAAAATGCTAAGGAAGTTCCCTCCCAGTGCCTACCCAGGCTGGGTGGGGCGACTCTGTGGCACTGAAAGAACCGGGAAAACGACATAGTCTAACTCCCTGCGTGCACTAACTGCTTTTGCGATTCAGGGAGTCGGCGGTGGGGTTGGGGGTTGTTAAGACGCCAGGTCCGGTGCCCAGAGGTTCCAGGTGTCCTGGACAGAGAACTTTAAGATTGCCTATTTGGGGAAGCCACCTTCCTTTCTCCTGGTCTGTTTCCCCTGTGCGGTGGCCGCATGGGGACATCCTGCTTGGAGGGTTCCCCCAAATAAGATGGACTGTCCTTGCTCCTGGTCGGGGTGGGCAAGTTCCCGCCGCTGCCCCGCCTCTGCAGGTTGAGGAGATCTAGGTGGGATTTTTCCTGCTCCCCGCTTTCGCCCCCGCCGGGAGCGGCGCTAGGCGGGGTCGCTGTGGTCGCTTTGCCTTCCCCACTCCCACGTCTCTTACTCCGGGGAGTTTCACCCCGGCCTCCCCGCTCGGCCCTCACCTTTGAAAACCTTCTCCAAAGCCACCACATTAAAAGTGCGCGACTTCCCCCGGGCCTGCAGAAGGAGCTCCTGCAGCCCGGCATTCTTCGGATTCCAGCGCTGTGACGTCCCCAAGGACGCGCGCCTGGGGCTCGGGAGCTGGGGCTCCCCTTTCCGCGCCGCCCCCCGCGCCCCCGCGCACGCCCGCCCAGCCGCATTCCTCCCCGCCCCCGGCGCGCGCCCAGCGTTTCCCCCCGCGCCGCCGAGCCCGGCCCGGGGGTGGGGGAGCCGCGGCCGCTGGCGCCTGCTCCGTCCCCTCCCACTCGCACGGCCCCTTCCTCCCTCCTCTGTCGGCCGCTCGCATTTCCTGCCGCTCTGGCTCTCCCGGCCCCTGAAAGTTCGTCCCAACTTTTTCTCCCCCGGGCGGGCGCGGCGGGCGCAGTCCGGGGGCAGGTTGCTGCGCTCCTCCTCGCTCCGCCGCCTGCCCTCCCGGCCCTGGTCCTCGGGGAGCGGCCGCCACTCAGTGGCCCCTGGCGGTCCTTCCCCTCCCACCTAGCCCATCCTCCCGGTCCCAGCCTCCCTCTGGCGGGACAGACCCGAGCCAGGGTGGTTCTCCTTTTCCCCTTCTCCGAGCGCCCCCGCGCCAACTCTCGCGCCGGGATCGCGGCGGAAACCTCCCTCCTCTTTCGCCTCCTTCGGCTCCTTCCCTCCGCCCTTCCACCGCCAGCCACTGGAATCAATTCTTTGGGGGAATTGGGGCTTCGCCGCTGCCGCCGCCGCGGAGGACAGCCTTTCCGCGCGGGACTCCGGGGCACCGATAGGGCCATGTAAGCAGGTAAGCGGCGTCTGGGGCGGGGAGTCGGGCCCGGGGTTGGGGGCCTCTTGGGCGCTTCGGGCGCCTTGCCGATGACTTGGGCAAACGCTGGCAACGCCGACTTGGGATCGGCGGCCCGGGACGCCTGGCAGGGCAGCGGGGGCGCGAGGTGGCCGGGCCGCAGGAGTTTTAAGTGGCGGTGGGAGCCGCCCGCTGCGGCGCACAGCTTGTCTGGGGAGTTAGGTGGAAGGTGAGCGCTGTCTGGAGAGTTGGTGGTGAAATCACGCTCTCGCCCCCTCTTCCCCATTCCCTTCTCCTTTTTGGGATCCAGAGAGGGCCTAGTGAGGGCAGCTGGAGATACCCAGACGGTGCGGGCCGGAGGATGAAAACCAAAGACGTTGCTGCCTCTCGGGCTGGAGAGGGACTCTCTCCGCGACCCTCCTCTTGCCCCCTAAGGAGACAGGATCTTGAGAGGGAGAGGAGTTTGCATGCCCTCTCACTAGGCCCCAGCCTAGCCACCAAACCCCAGGGCTTCTTGGTCCCTACTTGGGTGGTCGGGCCGGCCCATCGGGAAAACCTGTGGCCGCATAATTTCAGAACAGCTCTCCACCTCAAACTCTCGAAGTTCTGAGTATTAACAAGTTCTGAGGGTGTTGTTAACGCACCGTCTCCCCTCTCTCCTGGCATGACCGCTACATCTGGGGTTTGAATGCTTGTAAGGGATTTTCCACCTTTTGGAGGGAGCAGTGAGGTAACGCCGCCCCTGTCCCCCTTTCCTCTCCTCTTCCTCTAGTTGCCGTCACCCCCAGCTACAACTTAAGGAGATTGTGGGGTTTCGTCTTCAGTCTGTCCAGGGACTGGCTGTTGCAGGCTCTTTGTGAAGGTGAGGAATCTCTAGAGTGCTGGCTGCTGGTGGGTTACAGGATTTCCACCAATGTGTGAATTTCTTCAAATGGGTTAGTTCGCCCATTCATTCAAGGAATCTAGTTTCCCCTCTGGGCCAGGAACAAGGGATACAAAGATGCTAAAACAAGATCTAACTGCAGCCTCCCGGAGGAAACCCTCTGGCTGATCTAGAAGTAGAGCGTAATGAGAGGGCCTGGGAAGCCTTGGTCGGGAGGTGAGGGGGCGAGGTGTGCGCTGAGCTGAGAGGATTGAGATGTTGCTCACCTGGAGGGCCGATTAGGAAAGTGCATTTCGCGCAGAGGAAAGAGCTTGTGCAAAGTAAGAGTCATCCAAAAGACGAGTACAAAAAGGTCATACCTAGTGGCTAGCTGGGGGTTGGAGGGGGATTTATGGCCAGTGTAGCCGGGGTAGCATTTTTTTTTTTTAAATATCAGAAATTAAAGTGGAAGCATTTACAGGAACCGTGTAGCTTCCAGAGGAGCACACATCTCTCTTTTTGGACACGCCTTCATGCCTGATGCTGTTTCTACAACAAGCAGTGGTTGTGGGACCATCTAAATTTTCATTGGCACTAATTGGCCCAGGCCTGGTTTCATTAGAGTGGTATTGATTCCCTTTTAAAGAGCCACCTGACAGCAATAGGTGATAATACTGTAGCTTACAGAGCCCTGTATTAAAGTTGCCTTGTCTTTTGGTGATGGCCTTAAAAGCTTGTGCCTTAGAATGATAGGTTAATGAATGGGGGCTGAACAGCACGGTGCTCTTTTGCCTAATCGGAATGGGTGGCCGTGCTGTGCAGAGTGAGTTCACGTGTGTGTCAATGTGTTCGTTGTAGTATTCTCCACTTTTCCAAGTCATTACTGCCCCAGCACAGTTGGAAGGACTTTCCCTTCCTCTGAAACTTTATGAAAAACTGAATGTCTTCTAGGAGATTGTTGTAGCCTGATTGTCCAGGATTCAGCAGATCCTGCCTAGAAAATTTTTTATAGTACGGGAGCCTCCTGTACGTGGTTTGCCTCTCAAGGGTGCCTCTTCTCGGGGCTGAAGTGGCGTTGTAGTATTTATTATTCATAGTGGCTGCGTCCTGGCTGAGGTGGCAGAAGTCCAGCTTCTGGTGACCTCAGGCCAGTCCGTCAGAGTGAGAAGAGAACATTGACTTCCTACAGTGTCGGGTGTTTACCTAAACTCCCTGCAAACACCATACCTTATCTCAAGAACAGCCCCTTGACGAGGGTTTTCCTGAAGGTGTAGGACCTGCTTGAGAGAAATGGCTCAAGGGAAGCTTTTTCTTGCTAATTCCAGGTAGCCGCCCAGCCTCCATCATTGGCTTAAACACATAGTTAATTTTAATGCTTTAGTTATTTAGGTTTGTGCGGACCATGTGGAACGGACAGCTGTAATGGAAAGAGCAGTTTGACTATTTTCACTTGGAGGAACCTAAAGAATTCAGAGGAAAATCAGAATTTCGGGGAGAATTCTTACTTGTCCTGAATGGAAGAGCCAGAAGTCGAGAACTATGAAAATATTTTTTGGTTTCCCAGTGCCTTCCCTCCTTATTAAGGGTTTCCATTTTTGGCTCCAGGGAAGCAAACATAAACCCTTTGATTGCACATTGTCCCCCACCTGGGTTCCATATTCTTATCCTTTGTCACCTGCGACCCTGCATTCGAACTTCTTTACTTAGTCATGCTGTGCATTTTTTGGAACTCATTCTAAGCCTCAGAACAGTACTGTGCACTTTGTTAGACATAAGGCAGGGGAAAGAGATGAGATGAACTCTAGTCAATTCAGTTATTGCTGCTCGTGCTGATTGAAAAAGAACGAGGGAAAACAAACAAGTTTTGGTAGAGAAGAGGTTAAAGTTAATGTCTAAAATAAGACTCTGTGGTCTCCTCTTATTGATTTAATTCTCTCTTCCCCTGTCTGAGCCCCGGGGAGGGCTTGTTAAATGGTCCAAGGGGTGTGTGTAGCACATTTTGCAGCTTTTCCGGGCTATCGGTATGCTGGTGCCAGGGATCCAGGGTTGGGAGTTCAAGATATAGCTAGGTTTGTATTCCAGCTCTGCCATCGTTTAGCTGTGTGATGTTGGCCGAACTTCGCAGCCCTTCCAAGTCTCCATTTCTTCATCTCTTAGATGGGGCCAGTAGGATTTAACTTGCCAGGATATTTGTGGGGAATTCTTTGTAATGCTGTATGTCCCTCTGCTAACAGTGCCTCCCTCACAGAGTAGGTGTTGGGTCAAGGATGGCTATTTATATGTTCCAGGAGTTATATGTGGCCATGAATGTGCTCTTTGTGTGTGTCATTTTTTCCCCAGCAGCCTGAATTCACATGTGTGCCAACATACACATAAAGCTTTGTCTTTGACCCTTTTTTTTTTTTTTTTTGGTCTATTGGCTCAAAGCACACGTGTTGGCTGGCAGCTGCTGGCCTCTCATATATGAGGAGGTCGAGCGTTGCAGGACCAGGCAGTAGGGTAGTTGGGAGGGAAAGCCACGTAGACAAGGGCAGAGAAAAGGATTCTTTTCCCTGTATACTACTTACTGTAACGAGGGTCCAGTGCTAATACAAGGATCCTTGTGTTTCTAATGTTGAAATCCAGTTAATTAAATGATGTTAGAATAAATCCGCCTGCCTTTATAGCAAGAGTGCAAAAGCTGGCCGATCGACACAAATGAGTGTCTTTGCAGCCTTGCTTTCCTTCTTTGAAGCCCAAGTATAAGGAGGCAACTGCAATGCCTCTCGTGTCCTGCCAGCTTCAGGTCGCTTGAACTTTAACGTTGCCTTTCATCTGAGAGCCTAAAGTATTTGGCAAACATTAACTCATTGATCTTCGTATCAACCTCCCAACAGGAGAGAATGTTAGAAGAAAGGAACAACTCCTAAAACATCAGTAAGGCAGGTGTGTAGTAGCTGTTCTAGAAGCAGAATGGGTTGTTACAGTCAAGAATTGGCTAGATCGTGCATACGGGATTGCAGACTGGTCCCAGGTCAGAGAGGACCCCTTTGAGTGGTCGAGGGAGAAAGTTTAAGAAAATGCAGATCAGGCTGGGATTTTTGCAGTGGAAGGGGAGAGGAGATCACATTGCTAGGACCAGCCATTGCCTTTGCCATGTATTGCATGCACACCGATTATGAAAATAAATAATCTCTGAATTATTTATAATTTTGAATGAAAGGATATGATGCAATGCTTGTGGATGAGGATTTAGAGTAGCTGAGGGTAAAAGGTAATAGTGACTAAGTACCTTTTTGTGGGTTAAGGGTGGTTATGTGTCTAAGTTGGATTATAAATGGCGTATTAACATTGTTTTAATTTCCTTTCCCTTTTTCCTGTTGCTTCCATATGCCTCAGCTTGGTTTTGTTTTACTCTCCAGTCAAGCTTTTGTTGGACTTGCTCTATGGTCCTTGCTACTGGAAAAAACATACTGTGGCCATGCTTAGATCAATCTTGTGTGTAGGATTTGATATGTGGGTGATTTAGCTTAGTTCCTTAGGGGACTCCATTAGGCCCAGCTCAAGGGTTTCATCCTGAATCTGGTCAGTTAGCTTGACCCAGAGGCCTGTTGCATATCCAGAGATCCTGTAACATGTTGCTCAACAGGGAGGGGTCTGGTGAGAAGATGAGAAAGGGTTCGCTGGTGGTGGTGGCATCCTCTGGGAAGCAGAGCATCCTTTTCACATTTGTAATGTTTGAGATTTTAGTACTGAATGATATTCCTCACTCAGAAACCTTTACGGTGAGGACCACTGACGTGCTCTCCTTTGCTTCGCTGTTGAAAATTAGCAAAAGTTCCTGATGCTTGTCTTCGTGCAGAGTGTATCCTTTTCTAACGTACAGTTTCCTCAAATCTTTGGAGACCTGTCTCCTGGGAGTTCTCTTTCACACTCCATTCCCCTCAAGTAATTGGGGCATTAGCTAAGGCTGTAGATCTCAAAGTCTAGTGAGCCTCAGAATCACCTGGAGGGCTCCTTACCCACAGACTCTGGCTGCTCTTCCCCACACCACCCCAGCTTCTGATTCTGAGAATTTGCATCCCTAAGGAACTCCCAGGTGGTGTTAATACTGCCGGTCCTTTGATCATCTGCGGTTTGAGTAATCGCTGAGCCAAGG